GTGTGTGTGTGTGTGTGTGTGTGTGTGTGTGTGTGTGTGTGTGTGTGTTTAAGAAGTTTCATGATGTAGCCCAGGCTGGCCCGACACTCCCCCTTGGTGACTTTGGACTCATGCAATTTTCCCCACACAGTTTCCCTAGTGCACCACCATGTTCAGCTCATCTTTCCTGTTCTTGAAGGCTTACATTAAATGTCATTTCTTCTGCTGGCATAAGTCATTCAGTACATATTACTTAAGCCTGGGGAACGAGAAAGACATCAGAGTGAATGTCTCAAATAAGAGATGATTCTAGTCCTGCATTGAGTTTTTACAGATCAAATATGTGACCTCGAAGGGGTCCATTCAGCCAAACTGTGATCAGATAGAAGAAAGCAATGCCAAAGACTGGTGGAGCTGACTTCACGGGAGAGATGGTGATAAAGAGCAGCTCTTATGGGAGAAGTAGCAATGATACACATATGTTGGCACATGTACATAAATAGGATATGGTGGGTGGTGTCAGAGCAAGGCTCAGATTAGAGCTAGTCCGGGAACGGTGCACTGGCTCAGCTTTCCTGGCCCTTGGGCTGCTGATGTTGGCAGTGAGTTCCCACAAGAAGAGGGCATGGGCTCACATGAAGCTTGATGTTCTGTCCGGTTTGTGAGTGGGTAGGTTGGGGCCTCGCTCAAGGTTCTTGGCTCTTAGAGCACTTGGTTTAGCTGATTGTTTGGAGTCAAGAAAAATGAATTGATTGCTATAATTTGAAGCATTTTCCCAAATTTAAGGTCATGACTTACGAAGTAAGAATAAAGCTTAGAGCATTTAAGACACCAAGAGATCGATACGTTTGCTGTTCCTTGTGGCAGAGGCAGTTCTCTGAGGTCCCCTGGAAAACGGCCGTAGTTTTGTCACTCTAGTAAAACACCCTGACAGCAGCAGCACAAGGGTCTTTGTGGTCAGTTCCAGGTGACGCTCCGCACTGCAGGGAAATGCAGATGGCAGGAGTGCAGGCAGCTGGTCGCATTCCATCCACAGCTCAGAGCAGAGCGCAGTGCGCTAACGCAGGCTTGCTAATGCTCAGGGCGCTTTTCTACTCTGTACAGCCCAGAACTTCCTGCCACTCACAGTGGGCAGATCTTCCCACCACAGACGTACCCACCGGTCAACCTACTCTGGATAGTCCTTCATGAACTGTGTCACATCTACAATTAAAACCAATCATTAAAAAACATAGAGGATGGGGTTCACTCGTGGGCTTACGGGAGTGCTGGGAGGAGGGGCATTGTGACTAACTCAATTAAAGCTCACAGTTACTGGTGTGCAATAGATTGATCTTTCATTGTAGATCATTGTAGACCAAGTAGGACCTTGGTCTTGAAATCCTGCTTCTCTACTGTGTTCAGCTGTGCCTTGAACTTTTCCCTAACCCACTGTCAGACATAGACATTCTCTGGCAAACCATAGCATGGAGTAACTGTACCTCTGTGCCCATGTTCCAGGGTAACGGTCCTATAGCCCAGGAACAGTCTGGTAAATACTGCAGTTTTCAATGGAGTTGGTTTTCTTCCTGAGAAATCTCATGGTTTCTAAGGGTCTGCCTGGAGGAGGAAAGACACCTGTCCCATGCCAGCCCCTGTCCGAGGGATTGTGCATATGATGCCTCATGTAAACTGACAGCAATTTGATGATATTATTACATTTCATTGCTGTTTTTCAGAGTAGAACCCATATATACAGGTTCATTTAGGAACTTGCCTAAAACTCAGACAATCCTTCCAGGTACTACACCTAAAATTAAAATCTATTTAAATGTTATATTTGCAGAATGCTTACCCATTCACCTTGTTCTAAAATACATTTTAATTACTTTTCAAAATTCATAAACTGGGACTAGGAAGATGTTTCAGCCACTACTCTTTTTCTTTTTTATTTTTTCCTTTATTTATTTATTTATTAAAAATTTCCACCTCCTTCCTGCCTCCCTTTTCCTTCCCCCCTCCCCACCTCTCCCTCCCTCTTTAGTCCTAAGAGCAGTCAGGGTTCCCTGCCCCATGGGAAGTCCAAGGTCCTTCCCCCTCCATCCAGGTCTATAAAGGTGAGCATCCAAACAAACCAGGCTCCCACAAAGTCAGTCCATGCAGTAGAATAAAAACCCAGTGCCATTATCCTTGGCTTCATTGCCAGCCACATTCAGAGTGTCCATTTTGATCACATGCTCCAACACTCCCAGTCCAGCTGGCCTTGGTGAGCTCCCATTAGATCAGTCCCACCATCTCAGTGGGTGGACGCACCCCTCGTGGTCCTGACTTCCTTGCTTATGTTCTCCCTCCTTCTGCTCCTTCCTCATTTGGACCTTGGGAGCTAAGTCCAGTGCTCCAGTGTGGGTCTCTGTCTCTATCTCCATCCATCGCCAGATGAAGGTTCTATGGTGATATGCAAGATATTCATCAGTGTGGCTATGGGACAAGGCCAGTTCAGGCACCCTCTCCTCTGCTGCCCAAGGAACAATCTGGGAACCTCTCCTTGGACCTGGGAACCCCTCTAGAGATAAGTCTCTTGCAAACCCTAAAATGGCTTCCTTAATTAAGATATTTACTTCCCTGCTCCCATATCCACCCTTCCTCCATCCCACCCATCCCATTCCCCCAAGCTCTCCTGAATCCTCCCCTTCTCCCTTCTCTCTACCCATTTCCCCTTACATCCACCCCCCCACACACACACCCGTGCACCCAAGTTTTGCTTGGCAATCTTGTCTACTTCCAATATCCAGGAGGATAACTATATGATTTTCTTTGAGTTCACCTTCTTATTTAGCTTCTCTAGGATCACGAATTATAGGCTCAATGTCCTTTAATTATGGCTAAAATCCACTTACGAGTGAGTACATACCATATTCCTCTTTTGGGGTCTGGGTTACCTCACTCAGTAAAATGTTTTCTATTTCCATCCATTTGCATGCAAAATTCAAGATGTCATTGTTTTTTACCGCTGAGTAAAACTCCAATGTGTATATATTCCACACCTTCTTTAACCATTCTTCTATTGAGGGGCACCTAGGTTGTTTCCAGGTTCTGGCTATTACAAATAGTGCTGCTATGAACATAGCTGAACAAATGCTTTTGTAGTATGATAGGGCATCTCTTGGGTATATTCCCAAGAGTGGAATTGCTGGGTCCTGAGGTAGGTTGACTTCCAGTTTCCTGAGAAACTGCAACACTGATTTCCAAAGTTCAGCCACTACTCTTAAAGAGAGCTGGAGTTCAGTTCCCAGCACCCACCTTAGGTGGCCCACAGCTGCCTGTTTCAGGGGATCTGATGCCCCCATCTGGCCTCCTGAAGCACTGCACTCAGTGTGCACATG